GCGAGGAGCTGAGTTTTATCTCTTTTCAATTAAGAGGTTGCAACAAAGTAAGGCCTAAAAATGGCCACAATGTGGCTTTGACATTGACAACAACCTTTTCCTCTTTCCTTTGAATGGGCGTTTTGACAGGAACTGCCTGGCGGGGGGGGGGGGTTAGGCTCAAGCCTGTCTACCCCTTTCCTGGGGAGCAACCCTAAAACCACCAGTTGCTCCTTCCTCCTGCCCGGGAGACCCATCGGAGCTGGAGGCCTCTGCCCCCCTGGGAGGGCCAACGGGAAGGGATTCCTTCCAAACCGTGGCTCTGCCGTGGGTCACCCAAGGAACCTCCTCCCTCCTCCCATGACAGTCTCCCTCTCTTCCCTGCCCCACACCAAGGGACTCGCCCCCCCCTCCCCAGGATATAACTTGGGGCAAGGCTGAGTCCCAGAGTCTCCGGTTCCTCCTCTTCTGCAGGAGGGCCGGGCCCTGGCATGTGTGCCAGACCGAGGCCGGCTGTCTCAGGGGGCAGAGAAAAGACGGGGTTGAGCCAGAAGGCATGGCGGGGGGGGACGGGCGCAAGGGGATCAACATGGGCGCATCCTGGCCCCCCACAAGCCCCCCACCCTCCCAGTGGGCTTCCGCTAGTGTTGGAGGGGCTCTGGCCACGTTCCTTCTTACCTCGGCCGCGGGCACTGTGTGTTGGAAAGAGGCGGCTGGCACCACCTTGGCCCTCTTCGGGCCCCTCCTTTTATACCCGGGCAGAGGCCGCCCAGCCCCAGAGGAAGACAATGGAGCCGCTGGCTCATCGAAGCCGGCCTGACCCAAAGCCCGCTGTCATCACATCTCGCAGCGAGGCTGCTCAGGCGGAAAAAAAGGGCCACGTGCGTGCACAGAGAGAGGATTGCACGCCAACCCCCCCCAACCAGGCTGGACTCTGCCTCCCCAGCAGAGGACCTTCTGCTGAACAAGCCCCTTCTTTTGTGAGGCCAATGAAAAGGGTTGCACAGTCACAAGAAAGCCTGTGGTGCCAGCCCCCCCCCCGGGGGGCCCAGGGCATGAAGAGCCCCAGAAGGTGGTGAGGGAGCCCCTGGAGGCCACCTAGTCTGACCCGGGCCCTGAGGGGGGCTCTCCGGGTGGAGCATCGGGTCTCCGAGATCGGCTTTGTCTGACACGGACCTGACTGACATTTTTTTTTTGCCATCATCCACACAATGTTCACCTTGATCTGGTTAACGCACTAATGACTTTCCATTGCTTTCCTGTACCTCCCCCCCCTCTAATTGTTACTACATGCAAGTCTTCTGGCTACTTTGCAAAGTTTAAAGGCATTTTCAGGAATATTTGGACAGGTGTTTTTACCTGGGCTCTACCTGGTTCCCTGGTTCTCAACCTTTGGCCCTCCAGATGTTGGGGATACCGACACCCATGTGGCAAATGCTTGTTTGTTTGTTTGTTTGTTTATTCTGCATATCTCCCAGCATAAGAACCCAGACAAGCTTGTAAACACAGACAGCCTTCAAGCACAATAGAAGGTATAATATGAACCTGCAGTTTGCTAAGCACCACTTTGCTTACTGTTCTTGTATTCCCAGAACCTATGCTCTGTCTCTCTCTCTCTCTCTCTCTCTCTCTCTCTCTCTCTCTCTCTCTCTCTGTGTGTGTGTGTGTGTGTGTGAATGTGACAGGCCTGGCATTGCTCAGGCAGCCTGCCTTGATCCTCTCGGTGAAGCAGAGTTTTGTTCTGGCCGCTGCTGCTGCGTCAGGGGATTTGGGCAGGCTCTGAGCCGCTATAAAAACCCCTCTGAGGTGGGAGAGCCAATGAGGAGAATCCCCCCTGGTCGGAGCAGCCCAGGTAAGCCCCAGGGATCTGCTCAGACTGACAGAGAGAGAGAGAGAGATCCCTCCAGCCTTCACTTAGCTGGCATAGCCAGTGATGGGGAAGATGGGACCTGAAGTAGAAAGAGCACCCACCTGGGGACCCTGTTTCTTATCAGCTGGAACTGGAAACTTTTTTGCAAGCTAAGTTATCCTGTGGTGCCTTTAGAGAGAAGAATATTCTGTACATGCACAAGAGCAAGCTCGTCGATGATTTCTGTCCCTACCGGATGGCTGCTCTTGTGCCCCATGCTGTCTGTCTTAGAGGCTGCACCTCCTTTCTCTCCTCTCCTCTCCTCCCCGGCCCCCCTCCTAGGAGGCAACGGTCGCTCACCTGTGTCCCATCTCAGGCCTCCCAACTCTTCCCCCAGGCGGTGGGGCTGCCAGCTGCCATGAGCCAACAGAGTCGGAAGTTCTCCGGCCTTTGGAAGGTACAGAGTTTGGGTGATTTGCTGGCTTTGTGAGGGGTGTGTGTGTGGGGGGGGAGAGAGGACAGTTCCAGCACCTCTTGAAATGGGCAGGGAAATACAGCTTGCCAGCCCCATGCTTGCTGAAGCGCAACGCACACCACCTATGAGAGTCACAAAAAGGGGGCCTGTGTTGTTATGCACAGAGTTAAAAGACCAGGTAAGAACTGGGGAACCCCCAAATCACTCTTTCTTTCTTTCTTTCTTTCTTTCTTTTTCTTTCTTTCTTTCTTTCTTTCTTTCTTTCTTTCTTTCTTTCTTTCTTTCTTTCTTTCTTTCTTTCTTTCTTTCTTTCTTCTCTCTCTTTCCCCTTCTTCCTGGGCAGGGCAGTGGTGAGGATAAGCTGCTGGGATACTTCGGGCCCCTGCATTTGTCTAGGTCCGCTTACCTGTTCCCCGTGCCTTGCTCCCATGTGCGAGGTGGCTTTCATTCCAGGGCAAGACCCATGAAGGCCCATCCCCAACTGAAGCCAGGACTATACTGGCTCAACACGTACATGCAGGTTCCAATGTTGCTCCAAAGGGCATGATGGGCCCAATCCTCCAGCTCTCCCTCTCTTCCTCGTTCCCTAGTCCCCTATCCTTCCTCCTGGCTTTTTGGTACCCCGATGGCGTTGGGTCCACGGTATCCCCCGGAGTGAGGCAGGGAGCCAAGCACCGTGACTCATGAGCCTTCTTTCTGCGTGGGCCACAGCAGCCACAGTGCAATGCCCAGGAGAAAACAGCTTCCCTCCCAACCCTCGGCTTGATGTTGGGTCCATGGTATCCCCCGGAGTGAGGCAGGGAGCCAAGCACCGTGACTCATGAGCCTTCTTTCTGCGTGGGCCACAGCAGCCACAGTGCAATGCCCAGGAGAAAACAGCTTCCCTCCCAACCCTCGGCTGTTCTGCCCCCGTGATACCACCACAACCTGCTCGCTTGGATATTACAACGATCCTCAGGTTTTACTCCTAAAATTTCAAGGAACGAGGGGTGTTCCTGACATGGCAGCCCCATTGGGGCCTTGTGTGCACCTCTGAGCAGGACGGCCGAGGAGGAGGCCGTTTCTCCCCCCACGGGGTTTCCTTGCCTGCCCCACACCCTCCGTTTCCTCCACAGATTGTGGCTTGGGATGAGGCCGACTTCCAGGGCCAGAGGCAGGAGTTCGCTTCCGAGTGCTACGACATCGCTTCCTGTGGCTTCAACAACGTGGGCTCTGCCCGCGTGGAGAGTGGCACGTGAGTGGGTCCGCTGCCCCAGCCCCTCCCCCTTTCCCTCCCTCCCCCTCTTCTCCATCCCTCCCGGATGACCCAGGACTGTGTCCCGCTGTGGCCTCCCTTGGGGACTGTTCTCTTTTTTGGGGTGGTGGTGGCGGCGGCAGGGATTACAAATCCCATTTCCCCCAGCCAGGATGGAACCTAGAGTCCCCAACTCCCACCCCCTGTTTACACAGGTGGTCTTTTCTCCCTCAGGTGGGTGGGCTTCGAGCATCCCGGCTTTCAGGGCCAGCAGTTTGTGCTGGAGAGCGGGAGCTACCCCTCCTGGGAGGCCTGGAGCGGAAACAACGCCTACCACGTCCAGCGGATGACCTCCTTCCGGCCCATCTCCTGTGCGGTAAGTGGGGTGGAGTGGGCCCACGGGGGGGGACGCAGACCTGTGGGGAGGGGGTCGGCCGCTTAGAGCCTCTGGCCTTTACCCCGCAAGGGGAGACGAGCTGTCCCATAGATTCTGCCGTGACACGTTCGGATGGGTTTGATCCCTTCAATGAACCAGCCGAACGACAGAGCTTGTATTCTGGCTCCAAGAGGCTCCAAGAGGTGCCAGGAAAAAGTTCCAAAAATAAAAGCCGCATTCCCCGAGCACCACCTTGGCCCAAGAAGGCCCAGAGCCCGGCATTACCTGGGGTGACCCGCACCTTTCTCCTTGGTCCTGGCGCAGAACCACCGGGAGAGCAAGATGACCATCTTTGAACAGGAGAACTTCTTGGGGTCCAAAGGGGAGCTGAGCGAGGACTGCCCCTCCCTCAAGGCCCTGGGCTGGAAGAGCAACGAGGTGGGGTCCCTCCGCGTCCACTCGGGGGCGTAAGTACTCTGAGCGACGGCCACAAGAACAGAGGCCCCTGGTCGCTCCAGGGGATCCGGTTCTGCCCCTCCCCCCCCCAATGCAGGAAAGCATGCCAGAGCACATTGCAAGGTCTCTGGTTCCCTCAAGTGGCCAGTTCTGGTAACGACACCCTTGTAATAAGTATACATTGTTATTTCTGGGTTTTTTTCATTTAATATTTTCAGGCAGTGGGAAAATGAGTTGATGGGTCTTGTGAATAGTGGGGGGTGTCCTACTCTACTTTTACAGACTGTGAGAGAGGACGGAGCCAGTCCAGATTCTCCCAGGGCTTGCTTGCTTGCCTCTTGGGCTCCTTGGCCCCTTTCAGACACACACACACACACACACACACACACACACACACACACACACCCTGCCTCTTTCTCTCTTTCCCCCTTTTCCCTCCTCAGCTGGGTGTGCTCTCAGTTCCCCGGGTATCGGGGCTTCCAGTATGTCGTGGAAAGCGACCACCACGGGGGTGAGTACAAGCACTTTCGGGAGCTGGGGTCCCACGCCCAGACCTTCCAGGTGCAGTCGGTCCGCCGGATACACCACTGAGCCGGGAGGCGCCCACTGACAGCAGGCCTGCCCAAGCCGAGGACCGCCTCTGCCCTCGCCCGGGGCCGGCGACACCCGCGCACCAGCTGCCGGCTGCTTCCTCCTCCTGTTTGATCACTAAAGGTGGATTTCCATTCCGTGCCTCTCAGTTGCATGACTTGCACTTAAAGAAGGTCGACCCGTGAGTGTCTCTGTGTGTGCATGTGTGCAGTGCGTTTGGACACGTCTGTTGTGTCAGGAACGGAGGAGCCTGAAGGCTGGTGGGATTTCCTGGGCCTCTGCTTCCCCCAGACTTTGTCCCCTGTTGCCTCCTGATTGAGGGAACCAGGCAGCTCTGCCCCCGGGGGGGGGGGGGAAGGACGGCTTTCCCGTGTCCCCAGAGTGCCAAGATCCGCGTGAAAAGTGCTCCCGCCCGTGTGAAGGACTCTTGCGGGGCGAGACCGGGTGCTCCTGTGGCTGATGAGATGGACTGGGAATCTGGAGACCTGGTTCCACCCCTCCAGCCTCACTGGGGAGAGCAGGACCGGGGGCGGGGGGGGTGGCGTCAGGGTTAGCAGCCCCTCACTGACAGAGCCTGGATGATGATCATCCAAAGCGTGGAGGTCTTAAGGAAGAGATGGCTGCGGGGCAGGGTTTCCCTCCAGAGCTCGGCTGTGCTTGGGGAGTCTCAGTGCCCCCTTCTTCCCCTCCACCCCCAGTAATCACACAGCAGCTTTCATATCTATGAGTGGTTTATTGTACTGATCTCCACAATTATCTAGTATACGTAATTCTTTTTTGGTCAGTGTTTTTCACTCCCCCCCCACCCCCGGCTCTCTCCAGGCCTCATCCTGATGCTGCTGCTTGCTGCTGCTCCTCCTCCTCCTCTCCCTGTGATGGGGCTCTGGTGCCGCCGTGTGGCCGAGGAAGCCAATCTCACCAGGCATCCTCCTTTTCTTCTTCCGCTCGGGCTGCTCGGCGCCCTTCAGCACGGCTCTGCCACCAAGGGAGGTCCAAAGCCTCCACCCGCAGGTCTGGGGCGAAGGCCGGGGACCCCACCATGCAGTCCCTGCCTTGTCCTCTTCCACAGCAGGGTGGGAAGCCCTCCTGCGTGCACCCCACGGCTGAGCGGCCTGTTCTCAAGTGCATTTGCACACACCCGTGGGCATGAGACACATGTGGAAGGAGAACCGTGGGCGGAAGGCAGAACCCCACCTGGCACTCCAGTTTCCCCAGTTTCCTCATTTCCTCTTGTTTCCCGAGCTCCTCCGCCTGGCTTTTCCCCACCCCTACACCGGGGGGGGGGGCTCTGATTTTTGCCCTGCTGCTTTCCCTTCCTGCTGAAAAAGAAAGCTTGAGATATAATCACAGGTTTCTGAGGATTTAGAGAACACATTATGTAAGTCATGGCCACAAAGGTTTCCTTTCAGCTGGCCTCTAAGTAAGCCGAGAAAAGAGCCACCGATAGCAGTACAGTAGATGGTGCTGTTGGACCAGGGAAAAGGGCCCCCTTTTCCTGCAGCATCTCACGCGCAGCTCAGCGCGTCGCCTCCCGCGTGCCATGGCGCAGCCTGCCCGCCTGGCACCTCGGGTGAGGCCCCTGCTTTGGCAAGCAGCTCCTGGACGTGGATCTGCTGGTGGTACCGAAGGATCCAGGAGGAGCGTCAGAGAGGCGAAGGGGTGAACTCCACGGGACGTCCCCAAGTCAGAGACCCAGTGAAAGGGAAGACAAGGGCCCCAAACCGGTGAGCGGCCGTCTGCATCCAAAGGCAACCGGGTTTCTGCTGCCTCTCCACCCCTCTCAGTTGGCTTGGCTGATGCTCCTGAACCCGGTGCTCTTCCCTGCTCCGGATTCCACCCAATGATGTCTTTCTAGCCTCCGGAATGTCCCGTAAGCCGGTTTTGTTCTCAGTTGCTCAGAGACATGACGGGGGGCCTGAGGTCCGACTCACCATGAGGGGCTTCATGCCTGTGTCTTCCTCAAGGGCCTTTCCCAAGGGGGGGGAATTGTTGTCCTGTGTGGTTTGCACAACCAGCCTGCAAGGTAGGCTACTTCTGGGTGACAGGACTGCCCTAGGAGCTGCTCTGTGCTGGACGGACACTTCCATAATAGCACGACCACCGGTCCATGGTCAAAGGGGGAGGGGCAATTTGCATAAAAACGTGTGTGCACTTGTTCATCAAATGATGAAAGAATTAACATTTTAAATCTGAAGCAGCCGCCTCACTCTGCTTCCTGGGGGGGTGGGGTGGGGGCAGACCCGAGGTGAAAATGAGAAGACTCAACCCGTATTGGCCTTGTCCTCACCAAAGATTGTGCCCCTTACTTCCAGACCCCAAAGCTGGGACCCTCAGGGGTCCCCACTTCCCATCTTTTTCCTCCACTTCAGCCTCTTCCTGGAGTAGCTGCTCATTAATCTCTCCCCCCCCCTCGCAAAGCCGGCCAGCCAGCCATAATGAGATGCTAACTGGATTTTCTGTAATATTGGGTGAAGGAAGGTCAGCAAGGTAAGTCTGCAGTCAGCGTATTGTTATTATCAATCAATAACCTATTTATTTTCCAACACTCCTATTAACCTCAGCCAGCCAATGGCCATTTCCATTTGAAAAGGCGGCGTATGGGGGGGGAGGGGGCCCCCTCTGCTGAGTGGACAAGTCCGATTGAGAAAGCAGTGGCCGCCCGACCCTGGAGGCGGCCGGAATCCAATTACGGCCATTTTCCTCCGGAGATGAATATGTATTTTTGAACACGTTCTGCATTTTCTCCCTGCTTTGGTGCCTGGCGTGGAAGGGGCTGAAGGACCCTCAAGGAAAAAAGGAAGGTCCTTGTGCTTTCCTCGCCCCCCTCATCCCACCATTTTCCCATGGGTTCAGCTGGGGTACCACCCCCTACTTGAGTTGGACAGGAACCCCAGATTGACGCATCTTGGGGCATCCTGGAAGGACACCCCCCAACACTAGCCACCCCTCTAGAAGCCTTGCAGAGCTGTAGCCAGCCTTTGGGGGCACTAATCCGGACAGGCTCATCATCTGGCTTTTTGGAGCACAGTGATGCTCACCACCACCCCCCTCACTAACAGGGCCCAGAAAGGCAGCCTGGCTCTCCGCCTGTGGGTCAGACCCATGGCTGGGAGCAGTTTCGGTTGCTGAGCAAAACCCAACCCATTTCCTGAGGCTGATGGGCTGCCCGGGGTCTGGGAGCACACACACACCCCGGGAGCAGCGACTGGAGCCTCCCTCCCTCCCTCCCGTGTCTTTGTACCCGGCTGCGCTTTGTAGGCACGCGGCCTCACATCATCATTCTCTGGGGGTGAAGGGATGCCAACGGATGGCTGGGCTGGGCTGGCGTGGGCATCCAAGGTTCGAAAAAGATGGACGGCAGAAGTGGTTGTGATCCAAGGCTGGTGAAATGCCCCGGTTGATGGTGGCGTCTGCCCTCCTTGGCGGACTCTGAGGACCAGAAAGTAACTTTTCTCAGCTCCGGTGGCGGCCTTCTTTTGGCGGGGGGGGGGGCTGAGGGAAAACATGGCCCCCAGAACACCTTCCCCACGGAGGCTGGATCTTGCCGGCCCTTCAGGACTCAGGGCACAGCGCCTGTCCGGGCCAGCCCTCCCTGGGCACCCTCACCTGATGAGCACTTCTTTCTCTCTCTCTCTCTCTCTCTACTTCTCTTTATGCCTCAGCAAGTTTAGAAGTTTCTACACACACACACACACACACACACACACCCCGGATGGGAAGGGGGGGCATCCTGCTCTGGGCGCCTGGATTGCTGAAGGCTCAATTCCACACTCTTCTCTCTCTCCCCCCCCCCGCATTGTGGAGGGCCTATTATTAATAATAAGCCTTTAATAATAACAAGCTTAAAATCAGGTTTATGGGTTTGCTGGCTGCCCTTTTCCCTAGCCATAATCACCTCTCATCCATATTCATGAGAGGTTCGTTAGCAAACACCATGGAGAAGGGGGCTACTCAGGGCTTGCCGTTCTAACCACCGGGCCCTCTCCTCTGAGCAGCACAACTTCCTTGCTGATTACCAACATTAAATTAACTCCACGGAACAGATCTAATAAGGCTTCCTCGTGGCACCGACGGCTCTCCTTGGAAATGGTGCTGATGCCTCCATGGGGCCCTATTAGACAGAAAGCAGACTCCCTCCCTGGAGAGGGCAGCCTTCTTCACCCGGCCAAGGCAGGCAGCGAGATGGCAGCTCCAAGGCACAAGAGGTGCCGTTCTTTGCCACGGTCTTTGCTGGCTGCCCTCAAGGGCTGGGAGATGCTCTTTGAATGGGCGAGATTGTCTTCTGAAAGGTGGGGCGTTCAGAAGTTCCAAACTGTCAGGGCTGGATAAAAAGTCAAAAGGACTCTTGCACACCAGCTCAACATGTCACGGTAAAGCTAGAGAATGCACTGAGCATGTATTTAAAAGCAGTGCTCTCCTAAGGGGCAGAAAGTGTCTATTGGTCACATCACATGATTTTCCTCACCTGCTTATCTTGCACTTAGTGTGCTACACGTTAATTATAGGGGATATATGTTCCTTTAAAATGTCTAGGCTGGCTCTCAATGTTCCTGAAAAGGGATTTGAATCCAGGCCCCGCTGGATCCGCTCCAAGTAGCCTGTCTTAGATTTCACTGAGAAGCAAAATGCAAATGACCAAACCATGGTTTGTGGATTAAAGTTTAAGCAACACAGGATGTTCTCTAGATAACCCTTTATCGTCACTCCATCAACTTCATTGTTATTATAGGATGGGGAAAGATTTCTGTTGGATCTGACAATTTCAGCTCCTGAAACTGTTGAGAGGGAAAGAGGGAGGCTCTGCTTTGAGGATTCACACATACCTGAGGTTTGCAGGGCATTCCAGCACCTGCCTGAAAATGCAAATGGTTCAAAATGGGACATGGTTGAAAGAAGCCACTATGCCCTTTACTGGGAAAGCTGGGGGAGATGAGTGCCGGTCAGTTCAAAAATGTAAACAAGCTCAAGGAAAAAAACACATTTCAATCTGATGCAAATGTCTGCATGGATTCCACCCGCAAAGTCTTGCGAACCACGGAGAGCAAGAAAAGGCAGGGGGAGATTTGGAGAAAAGCAACCAGCGAGGTTTCCACAGCACTCTTCCCCCCCCTCCCCGCTCCCGGCTCCTCCTTAG